TTTAATTAAGTCCTGCTACGTGTTACTTACACACTTCTCTTTTTCTGAAAGGAGCACACGTGAGCGACGCGTGCGGTGGCAACAATAGTCGCGATCGTCGCAAAACCCCTTCTTTGTCAGACGGTATTTGCGATGTAAATAAAATAGGAGCGCAATGAATACGTTGAACCAAGCCTTCATTCCTCATGCGTGATGCGCACGTTGCATCGCGAGCGTTAGTTTGCGCAACGTGCGCATCACGCGGTTTGTTATACCGATTTAAATCGAAAGCGCACGCCGAAACGCGGAGCGAGAATGCAGCCAGATGGTACCGGCGTGGTGTGCCCGTGTGATAAGGGCGTATCGAATTACGCGAGGGGCTAAAAGTGGCGCGAAGAAGGATCATTAAGGTCGACGTGACGTTTCAGCGAAACGTTTCCGGGAAATTCTGCAGGAAGTTTACGAAAGTCTCTCTGCCCTACCCACCGCCTGGAATTCCCCGTGCGATAATGTACGCTGAAATCACTTAGAAAGTTCAGACTTCCACACTCGGGGACGCCAACATCTAGATCTACTTTTCTCGTAAATAATAACGAAATAGTTAATCAAAATTATTATATCGGATTGTATTAGAGAGAAAGGGAGGGAGAGGACATTTTTTTTCAACATAAAAATGGACCTGAGATATTTCGATTTTATTTTTGTGAAATTCTTCGGATACCACACCACGTAAACACGATAAGTTAAAAAATGCAGGAATATTTGCGCGACGCATGCCTTTTTAATTAAGGTTCGACGAATATTAATATTCATCAGATTTTTTAAAACCCCGTCAGACATGCTTTATGAATATTGAATTCAGACCGATATATATGTTTAGGCGGGTTTGGTTTCACGATTGAACAGGTTGAGACCTTCGCGAGTCTCGCGGTGGCATCAACTTTATTCGAATCACCAGCGATTCGTCGATGATACGCCTGTAAACTTTCGTCGCGTTTTTATCTCTTTTAACAGGGGCCGCATCGATATATCCTATAGTCATCGCGATTGATCAAGCGCATTTACGGCCACTTTCAAGAACAATTTATCACCATTTACGCATTATCCCGGCGTCTAATAATATTTGCCATCGTGCCGTTACGCGCATCGGCTTTACGTCAAGTGTCGGATTAATTGTGGACGCGACATGGTGAGATCGTATTTTTCGCGAATGCTGCTAACAAGTTATACAGAAAACACGTCGGATATCGGCAACTTTGAGCGCGGCCGATGCAACGAACAAACATGTTTAATCATGTTTTCGTCATGTTAACATTTTGCTTGCCAATGATAAACATAATAACATAATTAAAAAAGTCGAGTTAATCACATGTTTGCCTCGTGCACAACGTACAAAATTCTCGCACCGTTTTATTGCAGCGAAAGCTGCTAGCAGTAGGATAAATACTTTAAATGTGTTATATTTTGTTAAGTTTCCCTCTTTTCTCTATCTTGTTAAAGAAAATCCACGGATGTGCAAAACACTTTACGGAGTATCAAATTTTACCAGAGTCTAATTTTGGAATCTAACAGTAAGAATTGTTTAAGCTAACAATAAATTAAATTCGACGTTGATAAGAATGATCACGAGAGTCAAGCAAGGATTCTCTGCTAACAGCTAACAATTGAGAGTTTAATCTTGAAGAACGAGCCGCCTGCTATCTGCTATTTGAAGTAGCAAACTCCTCTTATTTTGCGTCGCTTGTACAATACTGTAAAATTTGTCCAGGTTTCTGGTGCGTTCGACTTAACGTTGAAATACCGAGACAAACATCGGCACTTTTTCGCAGTTTATATTTCGCGCTCTATTTATATAAATTGTGCAAGGTAAGAAATCTTGTGATGTCGATAATATTCGGCTTTTGGCATATTTTAAACGGAGCCCGTGGTCACAGTAAAAAAATATATTTCTATTATATCACATGTTTTCATATGCGCCTTTTAATTATTCTTATTTTGTGGCGTAGAATACTATATTTATGAAACGCGGAACATTTTGCAACGGTCCGTCACGCTTTTTGCAACGCGATTCCTGTTTAGACCTCTTGCATTTTTCGTAAGCAATTTAACGCGTTAAATGAACTGTTATTCCGGTTTTTGTTGTTGACTTGAAACGTGAAATTTCGGGAGTTTAAAATCGCAATCAAATTTCAATGGCCAAATCATATTCATCCGTAAAACTTTTCTGTTATATTATTATTTAATATGGTTATATATTTAATATCTTTGTACTAACAATAAAACGTATAGATAAAGTTTCATTTTTTAACGTGATTTTTGTGGTTCAAAGTAATTTAAAGGTCAATATATTATTATGTGGTTGAATTTGTTTTTTTATAAACTACAGTACTGCGTTAATAAAAACATGTTGTTTTATTTAAGAAAATGTCGATGACCTTGAAATTTCGTAAAAGCTGACATTAAAAAAAATGTCGCTTATCAGAATATTAGTTTATTTGAATCGGACAATTTTCGTCCTTTCACATGTTTCATATTATCAAAGGAAACAGAGATATTCTACGTGCTTAACTTACAGAAAACACCCTGTAGAGAAGGAAAGTGATTGATTTAGAAACACATGCGTAAGAATCCATTGAATTTCTATTCTTTATCTTTTTGTCCACTTCGAAACGTCCATTCGTGTATCCAAGAGACTGTCCCGAAAGACTAATATTCAGGTAGATGAACCATTTAAAAATTTATAGTACTTGAAATATAACCATATTGTCTTGTAAGCTCAACTAAAATTTTTCACGTTCTAACGTTTTCATAGAAAATTTTTTCAAGAGGATTCTTTCTTTCCCTTCCCTTTCAGCAGAAATACGTATTTCTACATATAAAGATATATCAACATATATGTTGATATATCTTTATAGAAAATTTCAAACATAAATACTATAGTATTTATGTTTGAAATTTTCTTTTCCCAACAGTTAAAATATCTTTTCAAAGATCTCTAAGTTCTTTCATGCTGCGAGAACAAATAATTTCATTCAAAGAAAACGATAAAATTATATAAAAAGAAGAAGAGACGAAAAACTGAATAATGTTTGTTTACTTGTAAATCCTTTATGTCCTATTTCTTATCGTTTCATAATTTCTTTAAGTTCTTCAGATTTTCAAGATTAAATATAAGTATGGTATTTGTCGATAAAGAACCATTATATTTTTATTTAAATTTTAGATTTTCTTGTATCTTAAATACAATTATAACGACACACATACCGTTCCGTGTTTCACAATTACATTATATAAAAATATTGTTCTGTTTGATAAAAATTAAGATAGATTTATGTCGACATCGAGAAGTTATGCCTTGTTAAAGTGAGTTAAATAAATCGATGATTCATATGCCCTCACTAATTTATTTCTTTATGTGTCTATACATTCTGTCAAATCAATACTGGGAATCGTTCATTAAAAAAGTCCGCGTAAAAGATATGAAAAAGAATTATTTGTTGTAAGTCGGTACCAATGTACTTAATTGTCACGTAAAGTTTTGGCGTCATCTGTCAATCAGTTTGTTTATAGCTGTTAGTTTTATTAGTGGACCTCAAGTATGCTCTGCGATTTTTTAAATGGATAAAAATATCGAACAAAGAGTTTGCTTCAAATTTTGTGTTGCCAACGAAATATCTTGTGCTGAATCGTCGAAAATGTCGAAGAAAGCCTACGGTGAGTCAGCTTTGTCGAAAACACGAGCATACGAGTGGTACAAAACATTCAAAGAAGACCGAGAAGTGGTTGAAGACTTGTCTCGTTTCGGTCGACTTCAACATCTTCGACTGACGAAAATATCGACAAAGTGAAGGAAATGGTGATGGAAAATCGTCAAACAGTTAACAAACAATAGTATCTGGGCGTTATATGAGGCGTTTGAGAGAGAATGTTCGCCGGAAAAGGCCAGATTTGTTCAAATGGGGCCTATTTTGAAGGCGACAACATTAATTTCGATGATTAAACCAATATTTTGTGTTTTATTGAATAATTCCCGGTATTTATTTGACAGAATGTATATCTGACATCTACAAAAATGCAAGCGCATATTAATCTTTTCTCAATGGAATTATAAGTCTCGTATCTGTTTATGGCAGCCGCGTTAGACGAAGAATTTGGAATCGGAACACGGACGTCCGCTATCTGTATCTATTTCGCAATTAGGAGTCTGACACGCAAGGGATTTCGAAATTCGCTGTTACACAGTTTGCAAAGTTGTCTATAACGATCAGCTGCGAGCTATTTTCTCGTGACAGTTCAAAGTCCACTGCGAGAGATTCGTCCGCTCTCGTATTTATAGCGCATCAAAAATCGTCTAAAGAACGTTATGACGTCTTGTCGGAAAGACATTTTACCGTCTTACGACCTAACTTATAATGTTTGGGGCGTCTTACAGGTGTCTTATTTTAATTAAGTTAGACGATCACTTTTAGACATATTGTAAAGTGAAAATTAATAATAGGGAAACAAAGAGCTAGCGTTACTTAAAATATATAAATCGACATACATATAAATACTTAAATATTTACATAACGTGGATAACAATCTATGTACGCCTACAGAGATCGGTTTTGTTGCTAGTAAAGTAACGTAAGTGTTAATTCATTAATATACCGATGTGTCAGATAATTCCAGTTTCTGTCTCGTATTCTTCTTTATAGCAAGCTGACGTCGTCATTTTGACGTCGAAATGACAATAAATGACATCGGCTATGCTGCCTGGTTTGTCTGGGAAACACACCGCCACTAAAGCGCGAGTTCGATTTTTCGTGCGATTTTACGTGCCGCCTCTTTCGCAAATATAATTTTTCCGTAGAGGAATGCGAGAGAGTGATACGTCAAGATCGCCCGAGCACCTCGAGGATACGTTTTATTTCTTTCAATTGCCACCTCAATGTTTCTCGACTGTTTTTCTCACGCGCTAACGAGAGCACTGTCCGATTTATCCCCCTCCGATCGCCGTCGTTTCTGTTCTCTGCACTCACCTGCAAGAAAGCGCACGTGCTAACTTCCGGCAGGCTGCATTGCGCACCGAGCTGCGACACTGCAATCGATCATCGCCAATTTCTTCGATCCGAGTCGATGTCGACGCAAGTCTCCTTTTCTTTTTTCAGGAACGAACAACACGAGTTTGTCTGCGATCCGATTCTCCGGAAAAATTCGCGAGTCGCGAACGAATGTGAGAAAAAAGAAAGAAAAAAAAGAGAACAAATAACACGCCGATCGCCTCGAACGTACTGGCAAGAACGAACGCTCGAGTCCTACTAGCTCACGCTCCTCGATCGCTCGATTCGAACGCCCGGCGTTCCGCTTCCCCTCTTCTCGCCTCTACGATTGCCCGTGGTGACGTTGACGTTTCTGCAGCCTTACGAGTCTATGTCCGCGGAAGTGCGTCGGGCCGCCCTACAGGGCTGCCTATAGGGGTATCGCGACGCAGGATAGCACCGGAATGATATCTTTGAGAAAGTTTTGATGTTATACAGAAGAAAAGAATATTCTTCTTTTGAACGTATGTTTAATTTCAACGTGAAAATCTTGAAATGAGATTTGCGTTAAAGGAAGAAAAACTTACTTGAACGAAGCAATTTTGATATAATTCCATCAAGAAAAATATATGCTTATTACTTAACAATAATTTTCTCGAATGGGAAAGAAGCAATATTGGATAGAAAATGGCATATTTTCAACTCGAAGATTGTAATGATTAAAATAATTACATGCATTCTTCAAGTGACAATTATATTATATTCAAATAAGACTGTGATATTGGAACGTAAGATTATGATTATGATAATTATTATTAAGATTATTATAGATTGTTGCGTATATACAAAGCAATGAACGCGTTAGTTTGAGTATATAAGAGTTGATCCGACACTTCTTTTTCTGTGTACGAATATATCCTGCTCGGAGTCGTGGATGTCGATACATCGATGTCTCCGGTCGGAACAAAGGTCCGATACCTCGGTATCTCGGTGCCGGCTGATACACGCCGAGTGCGTCTCGGCATTAGAACACTTGCGTAACCGCTGAAAAAATACCGCGCACTTCTTTCGCCCGGGATTCGGTTTCGGCGTTCGACGACGATCGGAGTTGGGACGATAATTCTGATAAGTTCTCCATTGTACTCCTGCAGCTTCGATATGCTTATTTACGACACGTTGTTTTCCGACTTGCACGGCGCTTATCACGGGAAAAATCCAACCGCACAAGCCCGTGCGGCATTTATCATCTCTTTGCGCATTCCGCTTGCGCGATAAGCGCCGATAGCGAAGCTACGTCGACTCGCTCTGCGTTTTGTTGCCCCGTTGCATCATTTACATCCGTGTCTCTTTGGAGGATTACGAAACCGTCGCTATCTCGAGGCCGTTTCGTAAAAATGTCGAGTGAGACACAACGTGAGTCACTTTCCTCGGTGCTGTCTAATCATCTCCGATTATTAATCGTTAATTGAACGTTGCATCTCTTCGCTGATTTGCTGACGATCGGTCGTATCGGTGATTAACAAAACACTTGACATCGTTGTTTTTCTTTCTATCTACATGACTGAACGAGTGACTCTTATCTCGCGAGAGAACCATTGAAAAAAGCTAATTGAACAATTCATTTCTTTGCCATAATCGACAAGCAGAAAAAGGTGAAGCGGGTCTATTTTACATTCTGGTGCGCATGCATTTATATTGCCAACAGTTTTATTCATCTTTCACACTGGTAAGCAGTAAAATCGTCGTGGCAACAAGTATCACGCATACATCATGCGTCGTAAAATATCCGCCTTGAACAAGAACTACGTCGTTCACAATGGACAATTCGGTAAGAGTTACTCAAGAGATTCGCAAACGCGAGCTACAATTAATTAAGTTTGGTAGCATAATTTGACAGCTGCCGATGGCAGCGAAAACTGGTAGATTCCAAAGTGCGATTAAGAAACTGCTTATCGTGCTCTCGGTGGACTCGTCGGAGGACAAGCACGTGCTGAATCAGTTAGATTATTCTCCCTCACGTGCGATTTGAAACTACTCTTACTCCACATTCGCGGTGTCAAAAAATATTCGACACATATTTTCAACTGGTTTAAACGTAGCCCGGAGGGAAGTCACTTTGAGTTAAATATACGAGTGGCAAGTTGTATAACATTGACACATAATGCAATTTTTGGTTTTTAACTCTCAATTATTGATTTTAAATCTTTAGTTTATCATGTATCTACACTTACATATTACATATTTAATGATATTTAATATTTTTTAATTGATCTGTTAATCGGAAATTAATTCAGAAGTGAAATCTTGTATAATACTCATCCGCTTAATTCTTTGAAAATTTTGTAATACATTTCTCTTGATTTTTTAAAGTTTCTACATTAAATATTATACTAATTAAGTCTTGTTTGAAATTATTGCAAGAAAGGAAAAAGCGGACTTTAAACCTTTCGAGCAATATCTCCTCGTCTCTTCTTTTTCTCTTATCGCGTATATAATTTATACAGCGGTTCGTATACAAGTAAAAAAAAGTCTCATTTTCTCTATTTAATCTCCTACCGTTTGGCTTCTTTTCGTGACTCGAGCAGAAAAACTCGAGGCGATATCGGTATAATAGCATGCTACAAATAAGATAACGTCTCCCAAGGTCAACGCGAAGAAATTAATTGGTGAACAGAACGTAACCGAACACTGGCGTGTCTCGAATAGTCGTCTGTTGAATTCATCCGTCGCAATCGAGTCGCGGAAGGAAGCGATTATTTGATCGTGTGGACACGCCGATGGGCAGGAAGTCAGATTAGAATGTAACGAATAATGGCATATGTGTTTCAGAATTAGTGACGGATTCATGCAAGTTCTATTGCAGAATCTTTGTCATAATTTCCTTTTCCTTAATAATTTATTTTAGTCTTCCGCGCAGTTTGTTCGGAATTTGCCGATTCCTTGAAATTGTTTTGACAAAACAAGACAATACGATACTTTCGACTACGTTTGCTTGCGGTTGAGAAGATAAATTGCAGTTGAGCATGAAAAAACAAATAAATATGTCACGAGATCAATAATTCCGCCTTCAAAATGTATACATACATATATCAATTTTAAACATGTAAAAGATTTTATAAATATTTGAAGTTCCAAGCGCCAAATTTCCAATGCATAAAAAGTGCCGAATGCTTCCATTAAATTCTGGATGCGCCACCGTTTGCAGTGTATAGTTTATTTGCTCTGACAACAATGGGTCACTGCATGCCAAATTTATTTGGTCCAGCTTCAGGTACAGTTTTGCTACACTGGTGTTCTGAAGAAAGTATGTACCAATAACAGTATTTTTGATATATTTGAAGCGATTCACTGTTAGTGTTTATTAGGCATTAGATTTGTTTTATAAAATCAATTTATAAATGAAATATTAAATAATTAATTTTTCTTTTTATATTACATCAATAGCTTTAGAAAAACTATTTTTAAATTGTTTTTCTCGTAACATAACTTGTCATAAGATTGAGAACCCTCCCTCCACTCATTTTAAACAGTTATAAGTTCGCTATTAGAATATACTTTCTTCCGGGACACATTTTATACATCAAAAAATAAAAAAATATCTTCACGTTTATGAAAAGTATTTTCTTCACGTGATCTTTTTCTCATCGAAGAGCATAATTCCGATTACGAAGAGGAACAAAATATTCTCAACTGACGTATTATAGGGACTAAGAAAAATAAAGTCATTTCGGAAGCATGCTCTTTGATCGCTCGTGTAATACAATTTCATTTTTCTTATAAATATGTGGTGTCTCTGCTCATTTCTATTGCTGTGATCAAATAGAATTTCCATAAATTTTGCTTACTGGTCAGTCGAAAGGATTAATGATACAAAATTTAGGTCATAAATTACTACAGCAAAATGGCAGGTTTAAAGATTTATAAAATAAAGAATTGTAAGATGTTAGCTCAAATATCTTTTTACAATTCTTCATGTAATAATATGCGACTGTATTAAGTTTTCTTTTTATAAAATACCGATTCAATATTGTGATTAATGTAGCACGTTTAACATTTCACACAGCATCGTTGCATCAGTGGTGACGTGATTCATTAGAGACACTGTGTACGTAAGTCGAACATTGACACGTGACGTGTTATACATATACAAGTTATGATTGAAAGCACGTGATCACACGTTGCGTCAGTGGTATCACGTGTTTCTTGGCATTGTCAATAGTTTATCGTGGGTGTGTGTCGTATCGATAACATCAGAGATATATTAAATTGTACTTAGTATTACGTAATAATTATGTACAAAAGATATTTTCTAAACTTTGTAAGAAAAAAAAATACGAAGCTCAACGATGTCTAATATTAAACATACTAAGCATAAAAATATGGAGCAACGAACTATATAATTGAGATTTGCGAGATCCATGCAAGCAGACTCGACACGTTAAAAGGAATAACTAGAAAAGCAGTTTAGTTTTCTTAATTTGCACAATTAATTAATTAGATCCGGAAGTATTTGTATGTTTTTCAGTTAAATTAAAGTGACGAGATCTCATCTCGAGAGGGTAGGGAGGAGGCAGCGTCAAATCGTAACAATGCATTAATAGAAAAGGAATAGATAAGATGTTTAAAATATTCAAATCAGTGTTCGATCTTGCACAGATCAGAAACGGATTTTCTTCGATCTCTGTTATTTGGCTTACTTATTTTCTACGGAGTCACTCGGCGTCGTAAAGTCGTTCCGCAATAAAGCAGATATAGATCTTCCGCGTGTCTACCGTTATAAAGAAATAAGGCGAGCTTTGTGTAGCGTAAAGGCTGCACAGTGGTTTCCGCGGTCCCTTTATTGCACGCGTATCAGCTGCAATAAACGAGCGAATTACCGAAGTGACGGTACAAATCCCGCCGTCTTTCCTTGCACAAGATTCGAAGAACTTCATAGCTTATCTCGACTGTGCCATTGTTATCGCTACGATCGATATTAGTACTGCGCGTTTGTTGACGATTAACTCTTCGCTCCGTTGCATTGTATCTCATTAATTACTTCGTGAGCCAATAATAATTAGAGTTCAGAGATGTAATTACTTTACGCCATCAAGCCTCCCACGACAAATCACTTTGGTTACATTGGATTGTTGATGGGTAAATACAAATTAATTTATCGCACAATCAAACTGCTTGACGCAGTAAATTTCTGCATTATACCCCGCAATCATATACAGTGACGATGATATGAAAGCTACATATGCTTTTCGCACATTATAAATATCAACCAAATTAAAAAATTCATTATAATTCATTACAATTCGTTATAAATATCC